TCCAGGAGAGGGCCGCCAGATGCGCCCGCGCACGGGTCCGAAGATGGCGCAACGACACCACCCCACCACGAGCGTTTGATGGCCGGGGGCGCGGCTGCACCCACAATTCCCCAACCCATTTTCACGGGAGAGCGACGGCGGGTCAACTCTCATACGTCATTGGCCAATTTGGGGCGACCACGTTTCCCTCACCCCGTGACTTCGCCCTCCCGATCTCCAGCTTCAGAAGAAGCTTCCGGTTCGGATGAAGAGGATCTGGGTTTCCTTGAATTTGGCTTCACCACTTGTTCCCGCGAAGTTGGAATGGAGGCTTCCTTGGAATCCTATTCGAAATCCGGGGCGCTTGCGATTACTGGCACCGAGGGGAGGCTCACGCCCAAATTGCCTTTGACATTCTGGTTTCGTGGATGCGCGCATTGCAGTTGTATCGGGAGCCCAACAAGCAGTTTATGGAATTGGGCAGGATTATACCGCGGGTCTTTTGGATGCAGATCGTGATTAAATCCGACCCCAGTGTGCCGACCCAAAAAGCTGCGTGCCCGCCTTCACACGGCTTTTCATGAGGATGACACATTCGCAAGGGTGGCTCAGCCTTTCATGGATCGACGGGGAAACCGACCGCAACAACAACGATCGTTGCGATGCCAATTGTGCCTTATTTATGGACACGAGGCTTCTACATGCAACGTGCGTCCCAAAAGGGGTTTCCCGAACTACAAACAAACGTCAAAAAACGGCGAAGGGGCTGCCCACTGCTTATGAAGGCGGATGACGGCAGCCACACCCATTCCGCCACCTCCCACCAATCCTCACAGAAGACGTCGCACCGCACCGCTGACGCTTCATCCGATCGTTCAGACTGCCGACGGAATTGACGAGGAGAGCAAACGAGGTGGCTCGAGAAATGTGTGCGCCGTCAAAGTGGGAGCAGAGAATGTCCCTAGCGGGGCAAGTCTCAAAATTTTGCCGCACGCACGCACCGCCGATGAACGAGAAGAGCCGCGCGGCCTTGTTGATGAGAATGTTAGATGTGGCGCCTTCGACCCAACTGCAGCACGCCAGGATGCTGCGGTCCATGTTGGAAATGTGTCGAACCCCGCCGGGCATGGCGATTCTGGGGTTACAAAAAATGTCGGCGCGATCGGAGACGAAACAGGCGCGCTCTTTAAAAGAGGAAGAGAGGGATGAATCAAGTTATCCACAGCCGGACCGATTGGAAGGAACGTGTTGTTTTTCGACTCGCGTGGATAACGGCGAGTCGTTGGTCCGAGATTGCATCCTTAACACCCAACAATTTTACACTGGAGCGTGACGGGACCTTAATTTTGGATTGGTCCGTGGCGCCGAAGACGGCGAGGGCGGATCCCCACCGCGCCTTGCGGTTCGTGAGGATTGCGAGAGCAGGACGCGTTAGACATTATAAAGTTACGCAGGACACTTCAAGAAAACAAAAAGCTCACGAATATTACGACTGCCCAAGTCGAACGAGCTTTGGTTCCTTGGGATGCCACGGCGCGTTTTATGGAACGCGGTGCGTTGAGACACGCTGCTGAAATCGTGGAGACATACAATTTGGACCCACACGTGATCTCGCAGTTGGTGAGGCGCGTCGATTTTTTCGAACCTCCCCAGAGCATAGTTTGATATTTGGGGAACTACACCACAATGCTGACCCAGGTGTCGTCGTTGGTCGCATTGATGTGAGGGGAGAAACGGCGGAAGGGCAGGAACCCTGGCTGAGAGCAGAGGAGCGTTTTTTCATGATTTTAATCATCATGCTGCTACAATAACGAGACGCGCGACAATGACGCGTCTGGCCACTCCACAAGATGAACACGCTATCCCGTTACAGCAAGTCAACGTGCCCGTGTTGAACCCAGAGTGGATCAAGGGCCGGTTGAACCCGGCCACCTTGGAGAGTCGTGCAAGCATGGGGACTCGTCGGGCGGTCCCCTTTTCCTCTTTCTTCCCTCGGCAAAGCGCGCGAAGGCTCAGGGAGGATTCCAACAGCTGAAGCGCGTTTGTTACGAAAGGCGGGAATAATCGAGGACGCTTTGTCCACAATAACAGGCGGATGAATAATACCCTTCTCGGTTGTGGTGGAGAAAACCACCGGTTTACGACGACGATGGATCGCGTGGCCACGCGACAAGAACAGACACGACCCTTATGAGGCTCATTTTCCTCTTTTACACATTTCCCATTATTTGCCGCCTGTGATGGCTGAGGCCGCTTCCTGCCTGGATGTAAAGGCATCCTTTTTTTCAGGTCTCTTTACCGCGGGAGACTCGGCATCTCTTTCGATGCCGCGTGGAGGACGGCACGCTGGTGGAGCCGACACGGCTCCCAATGGGATACAAGGCCAGCCCAGAAATTCTCCAGATTATTATTACCTCGGCAATTGCGGGGGTGACGACGGTGGTTCACCGCCTCTGGGCTGCACCTCCATTGGTGCGCGACGACGTATGGATCGGTAATATACGCATTGCAGGGTCGAAGAGCGATGCGACATTGTGGGGGGCCCAAGTGCTTCGTAATGCGGACAGTTGTCACGCATCAATGGGGGAGGACCGCGAATTGGGCGCCACGCAGTACACCTTCCTGGGGGAGCAGTTTGGTCACACACACCGTGCGGTATCCCTGAGTGACAAGTTTTTCCGGTCTGTATGCGCCATGCCGGCGCTCAATTCTTTGACCATCGCGGAAATGGAGGTTGTGGCGTCACGCTTTTTGTATGCGGCTGCCATTTTTGGCACGCAATTATGCGAGTGCCACTTTTTATCAAGGCAGTGCGACGACGATTATCCGCACTTAACCGGGGGATTGTGCTGGAGACATCCCCGGCGAACCTTTCGCCGTCAGCGGTTGGTTTGGGCGAGGGATTGCGACACATCAATGAGAATATGATCGCAAGCGAATCATCAAGCCCACGGAAAAGGCATTGGCCGCCATCATCACGGATGCATCGCTCCATGGATGGAGAGCCGTTTTTGTTCCAGACTCCGGCGACGTTAAAATTGCCGGAGGAATATGGGAGAAGGAGCCTTTTCCTTATCATGCAAGCCGAGGCGCGCGCGGTACGCTTGGCCTTATTGGCCTTTCCCGCCATCTTGCCATCCACCACTGACGTTGGGGTGGACAACACTTCGCTGCAAGGAGCGGCGAATAAAGGCAGCTCAAAATCACACGCCATGACGTGGGAGCTGCAACGGATACATGAATTTTTGGACTCTCGCGGAATACAGAAAACCTTTGCCTACGTGCGGTGTGCGGAAAACCCCGCAGACGGCATTTCACGCGGTAGTGTGTTTTTGCACTTCAGGACTTAGCGAAGGAGTGGAACTTGTGAAGGGCAGCGGCGGTGTCTTGTGGTTGGAGGACCCCAAAGTCTGCCGCCTAGTAATAAATAAATAAATATTCCATCGGAATGGAGTGAGCAGGGCCACAATTGAGGCTAACGTATGGTATAATATATATATACACTTACTAGGTGTTAAACGTTGGGAATGTGGTGAATCCACTCTTATTCCATTTATTCCTTTCTTATTCCTATCTGGTTTGGTTTCTATTATTGATAAACTCATGATCCGGCCAGCTGCCCAGAAGATCATTCTACTTTATTTATCGATCTATCTTTCTATGTGTACTTATATATTTCCTGTGAAAGGATTCTTTTCTATAGAAATGCCCTTGCGAGCGCTTGCCAATTTTTTTTGCATTGATTACTTTTTTACATTTTTTTTTTATTATTGTTTTTCATGTCTAACTCTGCAGCTGGGTTTTATTACGGGAAAAGAAAAAGGTTCAAACGGATGGAGACCCCTATGGTGGTGCTGCTTTTTGTTGTTTGCTCCCAATAGGCAAATAAAGAAAGAAGATTTGGCTATTACGACAAGGTGCTGATTGAGGTACTGTTTCGTGTGGTTGTTTTTTGCGGTGGTGATGGGGGAGGTGATTGGGGAAATACTGGGCACAAGGTGTGACTTGAAATCCTGAATTGCGTTTTCAGAATGTCTGGATGTTTGTTGCCCTGAGCTATAACAATTTCCTATATTGAAGAATAGTTATTTTTTATTTTTGTGCCTGCGACGTCTTTATGCTGAACTGAAGTTTCTTTTCTTATTTGCGGGTGTCGATAGGACAGTTTAAAATATGTTTGTTGTTTTTGGGCATGTAGGATGTCTGGTGACTGTGCTTTTTTGGGGGGGGGGGGAGTTTACATGAGGGGAATGGGGATTGAGCAGCGTGGGATATATGTGGTGAGTGCCGCAGGCTTGTTGGTCCGCGATTTGGGTGCCCTCCAAAATTCATGACATTTTGGGCTCCTCAACGAACACTTTTATTCTTTGTGGAATCATGTGGTATTACAAATGACACCCTGGACTGTTGTGTTTCGCCATCCTTTTTTTTTTTATGGGATGTATGAGAGCCTTGCATGCTGCGGCGAGAACTGCATTTGTTACTGTGCCATTGGTCTCTTTTTTTTTTCTTTTGTTTTCATTCTTAGCTATTTTTTACTTTTGTTGCTTATTTTATTTCTGGTCATGTTGAGACTCCTGCGTGCTCCGTGCCTCCACTTCACTCACCAAATGGAGGTGCGTGGCCATTGCGCTGGAAGGAGTCTTTTTTTTTTTGTTCAAATTCACACAGAACCATCATTGGGCACATTTTTCTTTTATACTTCTTTTGTTTTCTTTCAGGAGATGCTCCCTTGGCTTTGCCTCCAACGGGATATGCGCGGAGTTACACGCGCTTTAAAAACCGAAGCCACGAGCCTTTTTTGGAAAGGATGCTTTATCTTTCTTCTAACATTAAATTTGTTGTCCATGTTGATGCTTTTTTTTTGGAGTGGAGTTCATACTTCGTGACGATCCCGCGTATGGTTTTGGTGTTGGCCCGACCAGGGCGGAATATATCCACTGCGTCGGGGAAAGGCTTCTGGTGGATCCAACGACACGGCAGCTGAGGGAAATAATAACGGGACGGACGTTATCCCGTTGATGGTGGTCCCGCTGATGCTCGATCTGATGGACTTTCGGAGGATGATGTGCAACATCAGTGTGCCAATCCGGCTGTTGATTTTGGTGCAGAACGGGCGGGAGGCGATGCTGTCGTTGTGCCTGCAGGAACTCGAGAGGGTCTATGGGTGGTCCGGACGCCTGGTCGTGAGTCGTCACCCGGAAAACATCGGGTACAGCGCTGCCGTGAACATTGGGCTCCGAATTGCACTCTCGCTGCCGCGCGAGGAAGTGCCTTTTGCTTTTGTGACAAACAGCGACGTAAAGTTTTCACCCGATCTTCTTCCCAACCTTCTACGCGATGTGCATGAAATGACGAGGCATGATGCCGCTTGCATGGATGAGTTGGCGGCGGAGGTGGCGAATGAGCCGAGCGAGTACAGTCCTGTTTTGCGACGGGGCTTGAGGGAGCTGCGCTCCACGGTGAACGATAACCGATTGTCGACGTCTGCGCCGCTGCCTGACCGCATCCGTTATGCTTCTGTGAAGGAGCGTGAAAAGGCGTTTTCGAAGCATTACGGGCACTTCTGCGCGTATTACAAAAGCAGTTGTTTTACATCTGTTATGTTGACACGCCTGGCGATCAGCACGGTGGGATATTTTGACGAGAACTTTTACCCAGCTTGCGTGGAGGATGTCGACTACAGCTTACGCCTCCGTTAGCTTGGATTTCAGGAGCGAAATGTCTTCTACGGCAAATTTGTGCATCGCGGCAGCTCGAGTATTCGTTTCTCTAATAAATTGGAGCTACCGGACGCTCTCTGGTGCCGTCGCGTTAGGTCTTTGAGTGCGAACGATGCATATGCCATGATGAAGTGGAACCGTCCACGGGCGTGCAGTGGCGGGTACAAGGGGCCATATGACGGCATGGTCCCCGCATACGTTTGGGTGAAGGATGAGGCACGCATACAACGCATTCGGGCCTACGGGCATGATGAGGAGCAAGGGGTTCCAAGGGTTGAGTACGACAGGACACTTTTGTACCCTGTGAGGACGAAAGGAAGATGGACTGGCGCCAGTCGCAATTCTTATGTTTTTATTATTTTATTTTATTTTTCGCTTTAATTATTAAAAGTTTTTTTATTTTTATTTTTTCTTATATTTACACAAATGATATTTAGGCGAGTACGCCATGGGTTTTAAAGAGCGCAAGCATATATTTGACATGACAGGGGGAGGGCGCAGCGTCCAAACTTGGCCGTGTTGCCGAGGGTAGGAGAGGGCGGCAGCAAGCAGTAAAAATAAAGATGATGAATGAGGGAGAAATAAAAGGGGAGGGAAGCAGAAAACAAGCCAAAAATATTGTGAGCACAACGCTGTTTCTCACCGTGGGCGATCGACACCGCAATTGGCTACTAATTTACCCACTGAAGGTGACACCCGTTTCCGCTGAATATGCCGCGTGCATATCTGTCGGGCTCTTTGTTTATTCTTTTGGTTTGTTTGTCTCCTTCACATTTATTTCTCCGTGCCGCCTGACCCACTCGTTTATTATTCCCCTCTCTGTTTTTGTGCGTGCACCGAGAGAAGGGCTCGGGGACATGAAGTACGCTCCCCTTCTGTGACATGCCACCAAAAACAGAAGGGGAGAAAAAAAAGAAAAGTGAAGCGGGGAGGGGAACCATCGCCACGCGTCCTTTTCTTCGAGAAGGCTGCTCGCCATGCCATTGAGGCGCGCCGTGTGCTTCGCGAGGCCCGCTGGACTCGATTGGGGGACCCGTGAGTGATGGTGCGTGTGAGTGTGGCGGATGCGTCTCCCAGGCGTCCCTAGAGGACCCTCTGGCCATTGGGACTGCGTGGAATGCGGGATTCTGCGGGGCTTTTTGCCCGTTTTGTTTTTATTCCTCCATCCGCCCATCCCAAACCTCAACACGGCGGCTGAGCCAACGACTGCGACGGGATCCGTTGCGTATTTCTGAATCTCTTTTGTGTTGCAGCGGCAGGCCTGGTGTGTCCTGCTCGGCAGACACGGTGGACGGGAGTGGGCTACCTTATCGGGAAAGCGATGGTCACGGCGGAGCGTGTTGCGTACGTCGCAATTTGGCGTGTTTGTGGCGATCCTTGCAGATGGTGTGACGGCGCCTCTTTTACTTGCGGGAATAGAAGCGATGCTCCACGGTGATGCACACGTTGCGTGTGGAGGCTTCTCTTGCTGTTGGTTTGTGAACTTTTTTTTTTCGCTTTTGCTGAAACACCACAGAGGGCGGTCTCTGCGGACAGCAGAGCATTGCGAGGAGGGGCATGACACGATTTTTGGCGCGATGAGGCGGCTTTTGTGAATTTACGGTGTTTTATTTTCAGGGTTGAGAGACTATTCTTTGCTGGAATGTATTGTGGGAGACCATCCGCGTGTTTGTTTTTCTTAATTAATCCCTTGGCATTTGGTGTCTGCCGTGAAACAGATGTTGATGGCCGTTTTATGGCGGTGAGATGCATTTTTATTTATTTTATTGGTGAGTGTGTGAATTGTTTTGCGTTCTGCCATGCGGCTTGTTGCTGACGGCAAGTTGCCGCAGTGAGACGTTGTGGACGCCTTCGACACGAGGAGCGATTGAGCAGTCACCTCCTCCGCTCGCCGGTACACGCTGTTGAGGCGGCGTGATGATAATGAATCGGCCTCTCAGAAAAGCAACAAGAGGGCGTTTGCTGTTCCTGCTGCGGTTCACGAGTGAACTCCAATCCGTGGGCGGGGTCGCCCTGCGTGCCGTATTTCTTTGAATCTTGATGAGTTTTGCACATGGCCATCCACACGCACATGCACGCAATCCCCCTGTTTGCCCTCCTGTGGGCGGGAGACCGGGATGCAAGGGGAAAATGTGGCCCGTGCCAGCATGTGACAAAGTCTTTCTTGGGAGGGATTGCGACTGTGAGGTACGTCCTGGCAGGCTGGAATGAGATGAGAGGGGAGCGGAGGGGCGAGTAACAACGATTCTGTGCGAGGCAATGCGCAGTGAATAGGGCGAAGTGATATTTATGTTGACTTTTCAAAGCATTTTTGTCTTTTTCTTTTGTGACGATGGAAAGAAACTTTGGGTGGTGTGCTATGGATTATTTGCACATAATTCAGAGCGGCAACACCATTTGCGGAGAAAATGAATGCCATCTGCGTGAGGCTTGTTTTTTGAGCGCGAGATGGTCGGGGAGGCGTTCAACGCCCCGAGAGGCCAGGAGCAAAGAGGCCTGCACTGCTGCAAGCAGAGGGATCCACGCTCCTGTTGGTGGCGTTGCTGTGGAGCCCTGAAGTGCCTGCAGGGAAGTTGTTTTTTCGCCGCCTCATTATTTTGTTGATTGGTGCTTGCCGCGGACTTTTGAGGCGGGGCGTGGGATGCACCGAGAGAGCGAGTGTCGTGTGGCGGTGCTGTGAATTGGTGCGGTCCACGTTTGTGCACATATTTCCGTTTGTGTCCGCGTCGTTGCCGCGGCGGTGCACTGGGAGCGTGTGACTGATCACTGCATCACTTGCAGACTGTTTTGGCAGGACTTTGAATGGCGTCGCCGAATAATAAAATTCCGCGTCTATGTCTCTCTCTCTCTCTCTGTTTGTGTGTGTTGGCTTCCGCCGTGACTTGCCGTGTTGCTGTTGTTGCTGTTTTCTGTGTGCATTTGTTTTCCATGCTGTTCCTTCTGTGTTCTCTCGAGTTCCGCTCTCTGCGTGGGCGCTCTGCTCTGCACCCCAGTGACGTGTCTGATGTGCTGCCGCTGTTGTTTTCTTCACCACTTCTTGAACACATACACACGCTAGGAAAGAAAGCAACCAAACGCGAATCGCCACTGTGAGATTTGAAGGCCCTGAAAGGACCAACAGCACACACACACCGCCCACGCAAACATATTTATATGCTCCCACGTGTTGCTGCTGTGAAGGCACTCCGCACACACAGTTGTCGCGGCGTGACCGGATCCAGCGGAAGGAGGAGGGAAGGAAGAGAGAGTGAGCCGCAGAGGCCCAACATGTCCCGGCGTGTGTTTGCTTCCGCGGTGCTGCTCCTCCTTTTCGTGTTGACGTGCGCCGCCGCGGGGCCTGTGCAGGCCCAAAACTATGGGACGAGAGTGGACGATTCCTATGGAAGACACAGTTTGGAGCAGTTGTCAAGGGAGTATCCAGTCGCAAACACAGCGGCCGCTGGCCACATTTTCCGCAATCCCCATCTTGTGAATGTGGACGGGATGCTCCTGGCCATTGTTGGAGCTCAGTTCAATGGATCTGTGGGGAGCGGGAGTGCGTCCATGCAGTTGATGGCACGGATCAGCGTTGATGGTGGGAGGACGTGGCGGCCGTACGCGGGGCCAGAAGATCTTGACGTTTTTGCTGCACGCCTTCACCAGATGTTGTTTACCACGCCTTACAGACTCTTCGGACCGCTTTTTGCATTTGTGGAGGGCTACGACTTACGGACTGGGGCCAGAATTCGGTTTACCGATGAGTGGGGAGGAAATGGTGTGGAGTCTGTTATCCATTTTCTGGACACAAGGCCTAGACGAAGCGGAGGTTTTTCGATGAATTCCGTCTCTATGAGCATTCGCCTTCCTTATCCCTATAAATCCGACGAATTGATTGGCTTCCTCAACGATGCCAGTACTTCCATCACGAAAATGACGGATGGCACGCTCGTGTTTCCCGTGCAGTTTCTGACAATGGGAGGGAGCACTGCGTCCACAATCATGTACATGAATCCCGGTCAACAGCACTGGACCTTTGCGAAAAGCGCGACACATGCAGGCTGCACCAACCCCAGTATCCTTGAATGGGAGGCTGGGAAAATCATCATGATCACCTCATGTGAGTACGGTCGCCGAAGGGTGTACGAGTCGACTGACAAGGGGAACACGTGGACGGAGGCTCTGGGGACGCTCTCGCGCGTGTGGAGCAACTCATTGGCAGGTCTTGGGCTCCACATTCAGAGTGGATTCATCACTGCAACCATTGATGGAAAGAAGGTGATCCTCCTCACCCAGCTGGAATATTTCGGGGACAAAGAAAGGAGCGAGATTCACCTGTGGCTAACGGACACGAACCGCATTTACCACGTTGGCCTGTTACCCACTGGGTATGGCGCGACCTCCAGCTCTCTGTTGTACGCGAATGATAAGCTGTATTGTTTGTACGAGGCCAGTGTTGGAAGCAGCTCCGGAGCCTTATTCCTGGATCTGGCTTCCGAGCTGCACTGGATAAGGCATGCGCTGGATACTTGGGCCGCGAAGGACAGTGCCTTGAGACAATGCAGCTCAATTGCCTCAGGCGCCGCGCTGTCAAGAGGGAACTGTTCTGTTCCTATCCCCACGGCTGGGCTTGTGGGCCATTTGGCCGATAGGCTCCGTGGGGACAAGTGGGAGGACGAGTACCTTGGGGTGAATGCCGTTGTGAGGGGTGCGGCGAAAAAGGCTCCCAGTGGGTTGACGTTTGAAGGGCAAGGCGCGGGGGCCGAGTGGCCCGTGGACAAGCAGTGGCCGACCAGACCGTTCCACTTTGCAAACTATGGGTTTACTCTTGCGGCAACGGTGTCGATTCACGAGGTGCCGAAGGGCATCACTCCCCTGATGGGCCTGAAGAAAATGGGGAAGACAACACTCCTGGGACTGTCGTACGATAATAATATGGAGTGGAGCGTGGAGCATGAGTTGTTCCCGAAGCATTTTGCCGCATGGGAGCTGGATAAAACGTA